TGTACATCTATCGACCATTATCTGTAAGAAAGGAAATGTAAATCGAAAACTCACATTAAACAATTGATACCAAGTGTTGTCCGAAGCATTGTACTTGTTTTGCTCGACGTCGTACTTAACACCATCCTTGTCTTTCAGCGCTGTGAATATATCATGTCGTTTGGTATACATTCCAACGCGGGTACCGATGTACTCTACCGTGAAAGTCTTGAAAAACCACGCATTGAATGCGTTCGTAGCACCAAGTATGGACTCACTATTATCTGCAAAAGGAACAAATATACCACAAAGCTTATTTTCAAGTAAATATTCGATTAGAAACTCATCAAACTTTGGTGTCCAATGTAGGTCGTAAAGATAGTCGGCCTGCACTACACCAAAATCAGGAGCCATCGAACTGTATTACAAATTGCAGATATTTGTGGTTTACTTCCTTTTGCGTTTGTGGATTTATTTGTTGTGAAGTGTATCATTTAAATAGAGGAGCTAGCATGGTTCCTTAGAAGTAATGATGCGCATGGCAACAAAAGACTAATACCTACTTGTAGGCCTGCAGCGATTGGTCATATCATGTCATATAGTCGTGAAACACTTTAGTTCAATCAACCTCAGCTATAAAGAAAACCTAAACCTGAAAAAGCATAAGACTACCTATAGACTTGAAGTGAGTTGTCACTTAACGTCATATCAGGTAATGGGCAATTCACCCCGTTTGACCAACAATGCAGGTATTCAAATAAAATTGAAACATGATATTGTAATACAATTATGCATACAAATCTGTCATTAATTCAAAAGTACGAAGTAGTTATACAACAGATCAGTCAAAACACAAAAGAAAATTGTAGAAAGTGGACTTCAATCAAAGAACGTCACCATAGTTCGTCGTTTAAATAGAGAGGTATCATGCTTCGTTATCAGTAATGCTTCACATGGCAAAAGATAGAAATCATGGTTGGCAAGTAAGTGATTTCTAATCATTTCAGACAAATGCAGTGATTGGTCATATCATGTCTCTTACTTCGTTATCATGTCTCTTACTTTGTGAATATTGTTCGTTGGTTTAAGAAAGGAAATGTAAATAATTGGGAAAACTCACATTAAACAATTGATACCAATTTTTGTCCGAAGCATGGTACTTGTTATGCTCGACGTCGTATTGAACACCATCCTTATCTTAAGCGCTGTGAAGATATCATGTCGTTCGTAGCACAAAGTAAGTTATTTCTAATCAATTCAGACATGCAGTGATTGGTCATATTATGTCACCGTCGTGAAACGTTTGGTCATATCATGTAAGTGAAAGTTATCATCAGTTCAGCTTTGCAACAAAAAGGTCGATACCTACTTGTAAACCTACAGTGATTTGTCATATCATGCAATATAGGCGTGAAGGCCTTTAGTCCAATCAACCTCAGCTTTAAAGAAAAGCTAAACCTAAAAAGCATAAGCCTAGCTATAGACTTGTAGTGACTTGTTATTTTTCGTCATATCAGGGAATGGACAATTCGGCCCGTTTGACCAACAATGCATGTACAAAGTACAAAGTATGAATACAATAAACCAAAATACATCATTAATTCAACAGTACAACCGAACAAAGTAGTTATACAAAAAGATCAAAACAAAATAGTACAAACTGGACCTAAATCAAAGAACATCATCATTGTTCGTCTTAATCGACTTTACTTAAAAAAACAACACAATGGAACAAAGAAAACAATGAACCAAACTGTATATCTCATAAATTTGAGCTTCTTCTCCAAAGTTCTAGCTTTTGTTTCTTCAATCTCCAATTGGGTGGCCAACTCATTCATCTCATCTTCCAATGCTTTCTTTTCGGTATCTTTTATTTGCAGCCTCTCTAATAGAAGTTTTTCAATCACATTTTTGCACTTTATTTGATCATGCAACCTCTCATTTTCAACCTTAAGCTTCTTAAAACAAACTTTTTGGAACGGCGGCATATCAGGATCAACCCAAGCAAACATGGTACAAGCTTCATTGATCTGTCGTAAATAACTCAAAAATACACAGAGGCAAAAGTTACAACAAATGAATGAACAGAGCATTTTCTATAATATAGACATCAGATAGGCAACCTAACCCAAAATCAAACTCAAAAGAAAATATCTTATTCCACAAAGACTTATCGAAACTTTACCTTCCACCGAGGGCATTTGTAGAACCTTCGAGCCGGGTTTTCATTAGTCGTTGATGTCAACACATCGCATTCTTCGCCATGATGACATAGTCTGACCTCCATCGGACTATTGTTGGACGATCTGTAATATCGATTGCTTGAACTCGTGTGTGAATCCTGTGACATGGTATTTACCTGAAAAGGATAAAATGATTATCATAGCATACATTCAAATCAACATATTCTAGTCATTCCTTAGTTTAAAAATATGACACACATGATGATAATGTATGATTAGCTACTCAAAAGAGTACTGGTGTCCAACTTCAGGATCCATCCATGTTGAAATCACTCACATTTGGTCTAAATTCTAATTACATTTGTTCTGCTAGGTATATTAGTTAAAGGGCTTCATTTGTTCAAATACTACAACGTGCAAACATATTCCTTAGTCCTCGAAAGCAAACAAATCATTCGTTCATATAAGCAAGAATCCATATCTTACAAACTACATAGTGAAGGCTCTAGCCACGTCATAATTAAAAAAGGCACATAAACAACCATACGACACATTCAACCAGAAATAGTTGTGCTCTGTGTAACACAAGTCCTTCAATACAGGGTTAACAGTTAACAATTCATTGTTAACACAATGTAAGAGATAACAATGAACTGTTAAAAGTTAACAGTTAACAGTTAATTGTTAACACAATGGAACAAAGAGTCTGTTGCTTTGTTGACAATACAGGGTTGAAATTTGTATTGTCCAGACTTGAAATACATACAAATTTCAACAATCTCAGAAAACAAAAAAGGAAAAAGTAGCCAGACTTAGTATAAACTTTCGAGAGCAAACAAAAAGAAACAGATGATTTAAACAAAATTCATGACACTCTTAAAAAAGCCCAATACTACTAAACCACAGAATCTAAATAACAACCGAGATTAAAACAACAGCAAATTATCAGATATGTAGCACATAAGATAAAAGCCAACTAATCTAAATTACTTACAAGGAAGATAATTAACATAAACACTGTACCTCATACAAAATAGCAATTGAAACTGAAACCCTAGCTTCAGTTCATTTTTTAAACTCAACCAAAATATTCTTCAAACTCATACACTGGATTAGAATTTCGCATTTCCAATTTGTAAGAAACTTAATCAGACCCGTACAATATGCTGTTCATAGCACAAAGATTCTTCAATTTCACGAAGAAAATGCAAAAATCGAAAGTGACAGGTTAATAACTTATGATTGCTGGAAAATGGTTGTACCTCTCACTGCACTGCCGTCGGGTTTATTCTCGTAGCACTCGAAGGGACGTCGTCGTCGGTCGTATTCCAGTAGTCGCAGCTTGTCGGCGGGAGCGAAGTGGTCCTCTCGTATCTAAGGAGTCGCGGCTTGTCGCGCAGAATTAGGGGAAAGTTGTTTGGAGAAGGGAGGAGTCGTTTTCGAACAGAAGGGAGGAGTCGCGGCTTCTCATCGGGAGTGAAGATAGGCTCTCGTCGGTCACGCAGAATTAGGGCAAAAATGGTGTCGAAGAAGAAGGAAGAAATCGAGTTCGGTGGGGATTATTTTGATCGAAGAAAGAAGAATGGCAATATAGTATTTGGCTTGTATACCATGTCAGTTAATCCTTCGAAGTAAACGAGGGATAGATTTATGAAAATTCCATCTCAAAAAGTAAACAAAGGACTAAATGCTGACATGGAAAGTGATTGATTAATTTGTCTTATCCCATCTTGCAAAGTAAACGACCCCTAAATATCTCACTCAAAACTCAAATTTAACTCAAATTTAACTCAACTCTACTATCTCCATTATCATCAATATAATTAAATAATATCAACCAATCATTATTACATATCACATCAATTTTAATTCACTATTCATCCACTCACATAATTTCAACTAACCATCACTTCCAATCATTTTCTCCTACTTTTATATCAAATAAACTTTAATTATTTTAATTTAAATATTATTTTAATATATCCACTAACAACTAACCATACTACTTTTTCTCAAACTTAACTATAGTTTAAAAAAACTAGTTTTTTACTAGTTGAATTCATATCCAATCACCCCCTTAAGTGCAAATGACAATAGTATTTTTTACATAAGAGAAAATATATTTACGTCCGAAAAAATATCTGATGAGACGAAACCAAAAAAAAATTAAAAAAAAAAAAAAAAAA